GAGTTCACCCAATTTTCTCTAAACCTCACTCCTTCCCACCCTGATCAACCATGTAATCATTATTAAAAAATAATATTTATTTTAAAAAAAAGGAATGGGGTTGGAGTCAGGATCCGGGAACTCCGTCTGGGTTACCCACACGGTTGCAGGAACCTGCTCACTTGAGCCTTCGTAAACTGATGCCTCCCATGGCTGGAATTGGTGGGAAGCTTGAGTGAGGACTGAAGCTGTGAATTGAACGCATTCTTTTGTGGGATATGGGTGTCTCAACTTTAAACTAAATGACTTTGCTCAGTTAGTCTTTGATAACTGTTTAAGTACTTACTATTCATCCCTAAGAATTTCTTTTTATGAAACATTTTCTTTTGTAAGGACACCACTTCTCATAGGTTATAGTACAGAATGTACAGCACAAATGACTACTTATATGCCATGTTTTTCACATTCTATGCACCTTAAAAATTGTTTTGTAATGAGATTTGATTCAAATCTCTGCTTTTTCCTGAAGCTTTCCCAGACGTTCCCAAGTAGAATTGGATGTTATTCTCTGTAGTTTTAATTGTTTAAGTACTTAATTTTTTTAAAATAAGCCTTAGTATAGGGAACATATATGTATATAAAAAATAAAATGCTGTCCTCTAACAACCGTTATAGTCACATCTACAATAGTTTCATCGCCACAAGTCTTGTGTCTTCCTCCCTCACCCTTGGCCTCAATTACAATTTGCTTGATTTCACTGCGATTTTATCTTCTAGAATTACGCATAGATGCAATCACAGAATGTGTAGGCTTGTGAGTGACTTCTCAACGTAGTACTTATGAGATGTGCTTGTTGCCTCAAGTATTAACTGAATCTTTGTTGTTGTATTTACTCATCTCTCGGTTGAAGGACTTTTGGGTTACTTCCAGGTTTTAGGCTATTATGAATAAAGCTGCTATCAGCATTAATCTGCAGGTCCTTTAAGTACCTCTTTTAACATAAACTGTAATTTATTTGAAGGTCAAGTTGCATACCTGGATTTGGCTACACTTATAAACAGATTTTTTTCCGGCTCTGTGGTTTGGAGTCTCTCTCTCTCAGGGCCTGGTGGAGACTGCTGCAGGCTGGAGCACACAGACCAGTGGGAAGGGAAGAACTGTCACTTCCTGCCAGTGCATGCTCAGTGCTACCAGATTGGATTCCCACCCCCTCCCCAAGGTAGTGGTGTTTGATAATAAGAAAACAGATTTTACATGAAGTCTCCAAGTTAATTGCTGGCAGTTAAAATTGAACATTTAAAGACCATAATGTGTGGGCTGAACAAAATCAGCCTGTAGGTGTGCATTCTTGGCAGCAGTCCAGTTTGAGACTTTGTCAGTGGACTAGCTTGTGTTTTTCAGATGTGCATACTCTTAGCAGGCACACTTTGTTAGGTCCCTGTTTTTGTTGTATAACTTAGCGTAACAACTTGCAGGTTGTTTAAACTTCAAGGCTAAACACTGATGAATACTAAATACATTTTACCCTTCCCTCTGCTGGAGGGACGTTGAGACTGCTGAGTGCCTGGGCTCGGTGGGGGCGAGGACTTGTACTTCTCTCAAAGATGCTGATTGTGCGACGATGTTTGCTCAGCCTTTGGGATAGTCTGCCTCTCTCGTTTGATTTATTGTGAACCCTTTGGGGACTTGTACATTATTAATTAAGCTCTGTGTGTCTGTGTTTTTAGAAACTATATATAACATTATGGATATACAGTAAATTTTATTAAGTTTATTGCTTCAGGTTGTCCAAATTCTGTGGAGAAACCAATATAACTAAACTATAAAAAAGTGATAAATTTTTTTAAAAGATTTTATTATTTATTTTTATTGGAAAGGCAGATAAACAGAGAGAGGCAGAGACAGAGAGAAACATGTTCCAGACACTGATTTACTCCCTAATTCACTTCAGCTGCAATGGCCGAAGCAGAGCCAATCCAAACCCAGGAGCCTGGAGCTTCTTCTGGGACTCTCACATGGGTGCAGGGTCCCAAGGCGTTGGGCCGCCCTTGATTGCTTTCCCAGGCCACAAGCGGGGAGCTGGGTGGGAAGTGGAGCAGTAAGGATATGAACTGGGGCCCATATGGAATCCTGGTGCAGGCAAGGTGAGGACTTTAGCCACTAGGCTACTGTGCCAAGCCCAAAAAAGTAATAAATATATGTAGTTGTTTGAATGCTAAGAGCAGTAACCTCCCTGAAGAGACGGTTTCCCCTTGTGATTTTTTAAAAAGATTTATTTATTTTTATTGGAAAGGCAGTTAGGAGGAGAGAGAGAGAGGAAGATCTTTCGTCCAGTGGTTCATTCCCCAAGTAGCTGCAACGGCTGGAGCTGAACCAGTCTGAAGCCAGGAGCCTGGAGCTTCTTCCGGGTCTCCCATGCAGGTGCAGGGTCCCAAGGCTTTGGGCCGTCCTCAACTACTTTCCCAGGCCACAAGCAGGGAGCTGGATGGGAAGCAGGGCCACTGGGATTAGAACCGGCGGCCACATGGGATCACAGCACATTCAAGGCAAGGACTTTAGCCTCTATGCTATCACGCTGGGCCCTCCCCTTTTAATTTATCTACCAGTTCCTTATCGTGCATAAAGATGTGTAGCTTGCAGGTTTCCAAAATACTTCGTGACTCCACAGATTCTGTTACTGGTTAAACTAGTATAAGTGGCATTCACCCTCAGAATGCCGGGGGCAAGGATATTAAATGACCTGCCTTGCCTTAGCATCCCTTATTTACCCTACTGCCAGGCAGCCAAGCATTTTTGTGGTAATTATATGAAGAACTTACACAGTTTAGGAATTTGAGTTGAGTTTGGGTTTATACCTTCATAGAAGTATCATCCCAGGAACATCATGCACCTAGAAAGGTATCTGAGAATAAAATAGTCACGATTGTCTGTTTTGTACTAAGGCCAGAGGCTTTTTAAAAAAGATTTGTTTATTTTTATTGGAAACGCAGATATACAGAGAAGAGGAGAGACAGAGTGGAAGATCTTCTGTCCAATGATTCACTCCCCAAATGGCTGCAATGGCAGGTTCTGTGCCAATCTGAAACTAGGCACCAGGAGCCTCTTCTGTGTCTCCCACGTGGGTGCAGGGTCCCAAGACTTTGGGCTGTCCTTCACTGCTTTTTCTGGCCACAGGAGGGAGCTGGATTATATCCGGTGCCCATATTGGATCCCAGTGTGCAAGACAAGGACTTTAGCTGCTAGGCTACCTTGCCGGGCCTTCTAATGTTTCTTTATAGAAAAGTAGTCAGAAGTAGAGTAGGAAAGTAGATGATTTTTTCTTTTAAGATTTGTTGATTTTTTTTTCTTTGAAAGGCAAATTTACAAATAGAGGAGTGACAGAGAGAAATCTTCCACCCGCTAGTAGTCTGCCTAAATGGCTGCAGCAGCCAGAACTGGGCAGTCAGGAGCCAGGAGCCTCCTCCAGATCTCCCACCTGTGTACAGAGGCTCAGACACTTGGGCCATCTTCTGCTGTTTTCCCAGGCATGGTAGCAGGGAGCTGGATCGAAAGTGGAGCTCTCGAAGTGGCACTCACAAGGGATGTGGGCACCATCGATGGATGCTAACCTGCTGTGCCACGGAGCTGGCCTCAGGGAGAGTGATTTTTAAGTACAACGTAAGGGCTAAAGAGGGTGTTGGCACCATGGCTCAGTAGGCTAGTTCTCCACCTTTGAGTGATAGCAGGTTCTAGCCCCAGCTGCTCCACTCCTGACACAGCTTTCTGCCTATGGTCTGGGAAAGTGGCAGAGGATGGCCCAAGTCCTTGGGCTTCTGTACCCATGTGAGAGACCAGGAGAAAGCCCCTGCTTCCTGGCTTCATATCTGCTCATCTCAGTCATTGTATCCATCCATCCAGGGAGTGAGCCAGCATATAGAAATGTTCTCTCTCTCTCTTTCACCTTCTTTCTGTAAATCTAGCTTTCAAATGAAAACAATCTTTAAAGGAAAAAGTCTTTCTAACCGCAACAGCACTTTAGCACTGTGCTCGTCTTTAGTCATTCTCACACATTTCATGTATAATGTCTATAATACTCAGATAAAATGAGTTTTCTTTCTAACTCCACCTTTCACAGCTACATATTGGAATGGTGAGTCTGTGATGATGACGACCAAGGGAGGGTGGAGAATGAGAAGAGCAAAGTGAGACGTGCATTCATACTCAGTACAAGGCAGGCAGTGTCTGTCGAAGAGAATTTTGGCTTGATCTAGCAAGAGAAGCAGGGAGCAGGCAGCAGTCAGGGCTGAGACGCTTTCCCCACCTGAATGCCAGAGTGACCGGATAATATTCTGTTGTGTGTGTATGTTGAGCTTTGCTGGTTCATTCATCTGTTAGTGGCCCCTTGCGTGGTTTGCACCTTACTCTATATCCTTGTCAATATTTGTTATAATCCATCTTTTGGATAATAGTCATCCTAATGGGTGTGTTAAAAATGTTAACATCGGGCCTGGCATGGTAACCTAGCAGCTAAATTTCTCACCTTGAACACGCTGGGATCCCATGTGGGCACTGGTTCTAATCCTGGCGGCCCTGCTTCCCATCCAGCTCCCTGCTTGTGGCCTGGGAAAGCAGCTGAGGATGGCTCCAAGCTTTGGGACCCTGCACCTGCATGGAGACCCAGAAGAAGCTCCTGGCTTCAGATTGGCTCAGCTCCAGCCATTGCAGCCGCTTGGGGAGTGAACATTGGATGGGAGATCTTCTCTGTTTCTCCCCTGTATATCCTCCTTTCTAATAAAAATAAATAAATCTTTTAAAAAATCGCTGTGTTTTTCAAGATCCCATGCTAGCTGATTTACAGTATTGTGTGTCTTGACCGTAGAACCATTGTGGAAGGCAGTCCTCATTTTCAGTTTTTTCCTCAGTTAACAATTTGCTGGAATATTCATTTCTTCAAGAACAGCGTTTACTTACAACTCAATAATGTTGACACACATCATTGTAAATGTGATCTTATTTAATATGTATAATATATTAAATATCATTGCTGTCTACTCAGAATTTGTTATTTGTGTACAGTTATGAGTGATACAAAATGTGGATAAATTTAGCACTAGTGAAGGTGCAATAGGGAAATTAAATGCTGTGAAATGTTTTCTCATAAAGTGAATGAGGGATTGGTTGGCTTTAAATATAATGCATCTTTCAGATTGCAGGAGAGATGGGGCATGTTAATATTGTCTCAGTGATTTTTTTTTTTGAATGTTACAGACTGGTTCATGACTGGCCCTATTTTAGAAACAAGTAGGGTGGAATGGTGAGTTTCAGAGTAGTCTTGAGAATGCAGCCACATGATTTATTTACGGTACAATATTTTTGCTCAATGTTTTTCAAAGGTCAACTTGTTTTCCTGGAGCTCAGTGAGATTATTTTGTGTTGTTTGACAGAATTGCACAGAATCATTTAAAAAAAAAAAAAAAGCAAAGCAGTGATCCAGGAGCTGAATTGAAGGAGTTCTGGGGAGACCTACTGTTTCTTGTGAAAATCATCTTTGCTCTTGGAATTTAAAAGTGAAGCTGGAAAGGAGTTTACAAACAAGAAAAAAAAAAAAAGAAGAAGCTTGGAATCGGACTCACAGAATTTGGGCTTGGAAATGCCTCAGGTAAATTATATAGAGTAGCTGGATAACTTTGTGTTCCTGCCACAGGACGCCAGTGCCAGTGCTCTGTAATCACAGCATCTTACCTGGATGTACTATCCTTTGAAGACATCTTATTTTTCATGTCAAAGCTGATTTGGGGAACCTTCCTCTCTTCTGTTGCCTTCTGCCTCCTCCTTTGCTGTCCTGTTGTGGTTTAATGAACTTGACTCAGGGAACGTGATCAGTGGATTAGAAGGTAGATGAGTGTTCAACCAACTCCCATGACAGTGTGCCATGCAAGTTTCATTTCTGTTTCCTCTGACATCCTCCTCTTCTCCAACTCTTCTTTCCCATTTTTAAAGGAATTTTTAAAAATTTGAATGATACAGTTACAGAGAGAGAAGGAAGGAAGGAGGGAGGGAAATAAAAGAAAAAAGGAAAGAAGAAAAGAAAGAAAAGAGAAAAGAAAAGAGAAGAAAAAAGAAAAGAGAGGGAGGGAGGGAGGAAGGAAGGAAGGAAGGAAGGACGGACGGACCATCTGCTGGTTCATTCCCCAGTCTGCAATAGGGGCCCAAGGCCTCCGTCCGTCCTCCAGTGCATTCCCAGGCCCCTTAGCAGGGAGCTGGATTGGAAGTGGAGCAGCTGAGACACAAAGGGGCACCCAGATAGATATTGGCCCTGTAGGCAAAGGCTTAGCCTACTGCCAGCCCCTTCCTTGCCATTTATGAAAGTTGAATTTTAGAACAAAAATGGATATGATGAGGAGCCTCTGTGCTCCTCTGAACTCACACTCAGCTATGCATGTATTCTTATACCTCCTACACATTCTCAGAATGATGATATCTGTTTATATTATGACAGCTACTTGGAAATAATCAGTTTGGGTTTGAGAAAATCACCGAAACAATGGTAGTCTCAGTTTTGCTTACCCAAACTCATTCCCATCCCAGTCCAGTGGTTAGATCTTCTTCCCCATTTTAGTGCTGGGGAGAAGCTAGAAATAATCATCTTGCAGGAACTTTTATCACAGCTTACACCTTGAGCATAGGGAACCAACTACTTGCTGGTATTGTTCGATGAAAACATAGCAGAGGCCAAGAAAGGGGACTCACTAAACAACAGAAAGATCAGAGGCCTACCTTCACCGTAATGCCTACTTCACATGGACTGCGTACCCCCTGCAGGATTTCTTGCCCATTTAATATTTAGTTTGCTATTTATTGAATACTGAAATTTAACCTATGAAATTTATTTTCTCAGGCTAAAGTTTTCTAGAAAGAGGCTTTGGAGACTTGGGAATATTGAGGGAAAAAAACAAAGGGAAGTATCAATAAAGAAATATAGGATGAGAGGGTAGGTGAAAAGGTCAGCTTATAGTAGGCTAAAGGCAGTGAATAGGAAAGTATAAGCAAATAGATGAAAACTATTTTAAAATTTTCCTACAGAAGCTTGCCAAAGAATTAAAGAGAAAACTTGTGTTCTGTCTCATTCTGTTCCTTCATTTGAGATGAATTCCAAAATGAGGCCTTTTGGTTATTTGAACTACTGTAGGAATGAGACCTCACTTAATTTTGGAATAATATGTGTACCTGTTGAAATGCAGAAAGGAGAAACAAAAAAGGAGCATTGAGTCTGGGTGCTGGGTCTTTTGTCTATCATTTTTTTATGGCAGGGATTGCACTGTTTCCAAGGATCAGGATTAAGGTCACCAGAGGTCATACCTAAGTTACTGATTTCATACAACAGATTTTGGAATATTTGGTTAACCTTATTCATGGAACTAGACTAATGATGCCCAAATTGTCTTCCAGTTCGTTTTGGGGAATGAGACGTTGGATTCCCCTAGGAGTACAGTGGAGACATTGACTTACCATCTTTGCAGATGCCAGGAAGGGGCGGGGAAATCTCTATTTCAGGTAGTTAGAGCAGCAATTATTGTTAGAAGCGGATTTGAAGAAACATTGAGCTCCTAGAACTAAATCACAGTATTTATTGGGTATTTCATGCCGACTCTGATGGCGAGATATGCACATTTTTGAAAGTTGTTATTAACAAATGCTACTCCATTTTGAAAAAAAATTTAAATGGAAGTCCACTGTTTAATGCAAGTAAAAACTCTGAAACATACTACATAGCAGAAAAAAATTTTCTGAAAATGTTCCTTGGTAGGGGTGGTGCTCATGTAATAAATTTGCTTGAAGTAGTGTGTTAACTTTCTAAACTGAAAATTCTGTTTTAGCCTAGTGTAAGCGGAATGGATCCGCCTTTTGGGGATGCCTTTCGAAGTCACACCTTTTCGGAACAGACTCTGATGAGCACAGATCTCTTAGCAAACAGTTCAGATCCAGATTTCATGTATGAACTGGTAAGCCACATTTTCTTGGTTTTTGATTTGATTGCTTTTTGGTAAAAGTGTTATGGTAGAGTTTTCAATTTATAAATGCCAGAAAGTAAAAGTAGATGTGATTGGACTAGCTTTCATTCTTGTGGCTGTATATTTAATAATCTTAGAAAGATTTGTGAACTTACTGGAAATACTAAGAGGAAGGTATATGTGGGTTCTTTTAAAAGGTTTATGTATTTATTTATTTATTTGAAAGGCAGAATTATGGGAGGCAAAGAGATCTTCCATCCACTGGTTCACTTCGAAAATGGCCACAGCTGCCTGGATGGGGCCAGGACAGTCAGGACAAGTCAGGAGTCTTTGGCTTCTTCAAGGTCTCTCACACAAATAACTGGGGCACAAGCGTTTGGGTGATGCTCTGCTGCTTTCTGAGGAGTATCAGCAGAGAGCTGGACCACAAGTGGAGCAGCCAGGTCTTAAACCAGTGTCCATATGGGATTGCAGTGCTTGCCAGCGGTGGCTTAACTCCTGCACCATAGCAATGGCCCCGTTATTTGCTTTCTTAATTGAAACTTATTTGTAAGGAGATCTCCTAACCCTGCCTTAAGGAAGAATGTGTATGGTGAAGTTTGAGTTTTTGATACTTGAACTGTTCCTAGACTGCTCAAGGGGTATGTTTTCCCTTGGTACCCCCTCTGCCCAATGATGAAAGGAAGATGATACTCTGTGGCATGGCGATACGTCGCTAGACTGAGAGTTCTCATTTATCAGTGAGATATGTGAGAGTGAGCTTGGGGAATGTTTCCTTCCTATACTATGGTGTGTGATTTCTTTTTTAAAATCTTTCTCAGGACAGAGAGATGAACTACCAACAGAATCCTAGAGACAATTTCCTTTCTTTGGAGGACTGCAAAGACATTGAAAATCTCGAGTCTTTCACAGATGTTCTGGATAATGAGGGTACCTTAACCTCCAACTGGGAACAGTGGGATACGTACTGTGAAGACTTAACAAAGTACACCAAACTAACCAGCTGTGACATCTGGGGGACAAAGGAAGTGGATTACTTGGGTCTTGATGACTTTTCTAGCCCATATCAAGATGAGGAGGTCATAAGTAAAACTCCAACTTTGGCACAGCTTAATAGTGAGGACTCCCAGTCTGTTTCAGATTCCCTTTATTATCCCGACTCCCTTTTCAGTGTCAAACAAAATCCCTTGCCCTCCTCATTCCCTGCTAAAAAGATCACAAGCCGAGCAGCCGCCCCGGTGTGTTCCTCTAAGACTCTTCAGGCGGAGGCCCCTTTGTCGGATTGCGTCCAAAAAGCAAGTAAACCTACGTCAAGCACACAGATCACGGTGAAGACCAACATGTATCACAATGAAAAGGTGAATTTTCACGTCGAATGTAAAGACTATGTGAAAAAGGCGAAGGTGAAGATCAACCCAGTGCAGCAGAGCCGGCCGGTGTTGAGCCAGGTGCACTCGGACGCTGCGAAGGAGAACACGTGCTACTGTGGTGCGGTAGCAAAGAGACAGGAGAGGAGAGGGCTGGAGCCCCTCCAGGGTCACGCCAGCCCTGCCTTGCCTTTTAAAGAAACCCAGGAACTGTTACTCAGTCCTCTGCCCCAGGAGGGTCCTGGGGCCGCGGCAGCGGGGGAGAGCAGCAGCCTTTCTGCCAGCACGTCTGTCTCCAATCCGTCCCAGAAGAAAGAAGAGCACAATTACTCCCTTTTCGTCTCCGACAGCCTGGCTGAGCAGCCAAGCAAATGCAGTCCTGAAGAAGATGAGGAGGATGAGGAGGACGTTGACGATGAGGACCATGATGAAGGCTTTGGCAGTGAGCACGAACTGTCTGAAAACGAGGAGGAGGAAGAGGAGGAGGAGGATTACGAAGATGACAAGGATGATGACATCAGTGATACTTTCTCTGAACCAGGTATTCAGACTGGAGGTTGTCAGGCTGCCCTTCCCGTCAGTTTGCCAACAGCAAGTTTTATGGGTTTTTTCTGGATGATTTCTTTGGTTTGAAGATTAAATGACTTCATAATCTGGCTTACATACCTGCTGTTTGTATTCAAGCATCTCTAAAAGTGATTATTTAGTAATTCATATGCTGATTCCTTGAAGAAATATTTTTTAAAAAATAATTTATTTTATTTGGAAGGTAGAGGTTCAGAGAGATATTTTCAGTTTACTTGTTAACTCCCCAAATGGCTACAGCTGGCCAGAGCTGGGCCAGGTGAAAGCAGGGGTCAGGAGCTGCTTCTGGGTCTCCTGTATGGGTGCAGAGGCACAGCAGTTAGGCAGTCCTCTGCTGCTACCCCAGGACCGTTATCAGCAAGCTGAGTCAGTGGAGCAGGGAGCTTGAGCCAGCACCCATGTAGGATGTCAGCACTGCAGGCAGTGGCTTTACTCTCTGTGCCGAAGTGCTGGGCCTTGAAGGCATATTTTTAATTTATCATATTAATATATCAATTGATCTCTACTTTTTTTGAGTGGTTGTGCAAAAATACGAAGAGTTTGTTGGTCCAGAGAAATTCCTGTTTATGTATATATCCTACTGTTAAAAGTTGAGTAAAGTCAGGTAAGTTTTGAATACTGAGCCACATGCTGATAGCTTATTTGTATTTTTCATGACTGTAACCAACAGAGCATGCTTAATGAGTAATATCAATTAGAGCTGCTTCTTCAGGCCTGCTTCATTTGCTTTTCACAGTTATTTTCTCAGGTCAGAAAAATATGTCCTATAATTTGTTGAGCACGAAGGGGAGATTGTGCTTTATATTTATATGCAATGTGTGTAAATCAAAGGGTCGGACAGAGCATGGAGACCCTTGGGTTCTGGCCACTGTTGGCGTGTGTGGCGTGTTTATGAAGATGGTATTGCTAGGTGGGACACGTAAGAATGCACACACAGATCCAAAATATAGGTGACATTTATTCTATTCAAAAATAGTGTTAAAACTAGTGATTCTACATAAAAACAAAGTTATTTTAAAAGAATCTTTAATAATCAAAATTAGTCTTGTTATCATGGCTGCTGGAATTTCAAGGTATTCATTTTTAATTTTCTGAAACATTTTTAAGGCACTTGAGAGCCATGTTGTAGAGCCAAAATTCTGTTATTGTTGAAAGACATTGATTTTTTGCGACACAAATGCTTAATTTACATATTAGATACAAGGAAGTTGTTTCACTTGTGTGGAGTTGACCAGTAAGCCAAGAGCACTACATGTTTAATGTGAATGAAAAAGATTTTTGCCTTTTTCTTTGGACTTTAGAATGCTTCATTGTCTAGATAAAATAGTCATCACTTTGAGTTACACAGAAAAATTTTCTCTCGGCAAATTAATGACGTCTGTTTTGAGATCTTTCTGGGAAACTTGTCCTGGTGATTTATAGATTCTTCCACCTAGGAAGATCATAGTGTGTCGGTGAAAACCCTTAAATCTGGCAGATGAGTTTGGTTTCTGTGAAATCTATCAAGGATTAGGCAAGGACAAAAACGGCCCAAGGTGGAGGACAGAAAATGTGGGGAAGGAATACCTTTACCACCTCGACAAGCAAGGACTGTGCCATCCGCCCTACTTTTATGTATAGTTTGGCTTTTCCTGATTCCTTCATATCCCAACTTTATTTTTTAAGCTTTGTTTGGCAAATTAAAATTACGTATATCTAAGGTGCGTAACATGATGTGTTGACTTTTATGAGGGTACTTCAAAAAATTTCTGGGAAAATGGAATGAGCCTCAGAGCTAAGAGCTGATGGAGATTGCTGTGTTCGTCTTCGAGCCCTTGGCTCATTCTCCAGCTCTGGTCTGACGTGTGCCTTGGCTTCCTGCTGGAGCCTCGGCTTCCTACTGGAGCACACCATGAGGGGGCGCGTGCAGGACTGAAACCCCTTGGCTCTTGCCACCCACGTGGGAGACTTGGCTGGAGTTCTCAGCCCTCGGTTTCAGCCCCAGTAAGTGTCTGGGGGGTGGAACAGCACTTGGGAGTACGTGTTCTCTGAAAAAAAAAAGGATTTTTTTTCTGAACCAAAATTTCAAAAAAGAGAAGTCTGTTTCAGTTAAGATTGAAATTCAGGTATAATTTATTTTCTCATACACATTTTTACGTGAACTCTGAAGCCCCCACGTGTGTAGGAAGAACAGTTTAGTTATATTCAGCAAATGTCTGGTATAAGTACAGAATGAACAGTGATAGGGACAATGCTGAATGTTAGGTCTCTAGAACTTACTTGTCCTGAGTGACTGAAGTGCTGTGCCTTTTGACCGACAGCTCCCCAATTTCTCCCCAGCCCCGGCAGCCTCCCTTCTCCCAATCCTTTGAGTGGGACTCATTAGATTTTACCTCGAAGTGAAATCGTGCACTATTTGTCTGCTGTGCCTAGTGTATTGTCACTTAGTATAGTCTCTTCCAGTTACATAAAAATGATCACACATTTCTGTGTTTTAACCAAAATTATTTAATTGAAAGGCAGAATAAGAGGGAGATATTAATCTTCTTTCTGCTGATTGATTCTCTGAATGACTACAGCAGCAAGGTCTGGACCAGGACAAAGCTAGGAGCCAAGAATACCATGTTGGGTTCTCCACATGGTCAGGGGACCAAATGCTTGGGCATCATCTGCTGCCTTCTCAGGCTTGTTAGCAGGAAACTGGATTGAAAGTGGGATAACCAGGCCTGGCACAATAGTCTAGTGGCTAAATTCTTGCCTTACTTGCACTGGCATTCCATATAGATGCTGATTTGTGTCCCAGCTGCTCCACTTCCCATTCGGCTCACTGCTTGTGGCCTGAGAACGCAGTATAGAATGGAACCCATATTAGAGACGTGGAAGAAACTCCTGGCTCCTGGCTTTGGGTCAGTTTAGCTTTGGCTGTTGCAGCCACTTGGGAAGTGAACCAGTGGATGAAAGATCTTTCTCTGTGTATCTCTTCTCTATATATATCTGCCTTTCCAATAAAAATAAATAAATCGTAAAACAAGAAAGTGTAATAACAACGATTTTAATTGGGAATTCCAATATGGGATCTGATGTTGCGAGTGGCTTAACCCTCTGAACCAAAAGACCAGTGTACATGAGCAGGACTCTGGATCAGAGCTGTAGTACACAGGACTCAAGTCAGTGCTTTGAGATACTGACATAGTCACATGCAGTGGGTTAATAGGCTAAGCTACCATACCAGCCACAGTATATTCTTTCTATACTTAATTTGTTGAACTGTTTTATTGTGGAAGTTTGCTACATTTTATCAAATGCGTTCTGACTTGGGTGTGATTAGGCATTCTCTATCCTTCTTACTGATTTACTGTATTACTTTGATTGGTTTCCATAAGTTTGAAATATCCTTGCATCCCACTTGATCATAATGTGTAAACCTTTTAATGTTGTACTGACTTAGGTTTGCTGGGACAGGCTGAGTATCTGTTGTCTGAAATGCTTATGACCCAGAAAGATTTCAGATATTTTTATTTTTAAAAATTTTACAATATTTGCACAATCTTCACTGGTAGAAGGGAGAGAGAGGGAGAGAGAAAGAAGGAACAAACTCTTATCCACTGGTTCTCTTTCCAAAATGCCCATAACAGCCTGGGCCCATAACAGGCTAAAGCCAAAGCTGGGAACCTGGGATATAATTCCACAACTCCTGTGTAAGTGGCAGGAGCCCAACCACTTGACCCATCCTTGCTGTGTCTAGAGTCTGCTTTAGCATGAAGCTGCAACCAGAAGTCAGAAGTAGAGTTGAACTTCCACTGCTTAGCCAAATGTCCACCCATAGCAATTTATTTTCAGCAACTTATATCAATTTATCATCAATTTTGTGCAAAAGCACTACAGTTGAATTTTTCCTCTGTATATTTTATATATTTATGTATTTTGTTATTGATCTATAACAAACATGTAATAGTGTATACTCATTAACATATAGTCACTTTTAATCCATTTCTTTTTTATAGATGTGTTCATTTATTTTCAAAGAGAGAGAAATGATACAGAGAAGATTCACAAGGCCCCTGTGCAAGAGTGACCCACAAATTTGTGAAACATTCCATATTATAAAAAAAAAAAAAAGCGAGAGAGAATTTTCTTCCACTGGTTTACTCCTCAGATGGCCACAGTGACCAGTGCTGGACCCTGGCCCAAACCAAAACCCAGGAGCTTCATTTGAGTCATAAACAAGGAACTGGGCTGCAAGTGGAGCAGTTGGGAGATGAATCAGCACTCGTATCGCAGGCACAATGTTGGCCCTCTCCGGAATGACTGCAATAATTAAAACTGGAGCAGGCTGGAGCCAGGAGCCAGAAACTCACCTGTGTTTCCCTTGTGGGTGTCAGGGACTCAAACGCTTGAGCTTGGCTGCTGCTTCCCAGGCATATTATTAGGGATTCAAAGTGATGTTGCTAGGACTCAAGCTGGAACTCCAGAATTGGATGTGGGTATCCCAAGTGATGTTCTTTTTTTTTTTTTTTTTTTTTTTAGATTTCTTTATTTTTATTGGAAAGGCAGATATACAGAGAGGAGGAGAGACAGAGAGGAAGATCTTCTGTCCGATGATCCACTCCCCAAGTGACCACAACAGACACTTCTGTGCCTGTCTAAAGCCCAGAGTCTTTTCTGTGTCTCCCACATGGGTGCAGGGTCCCAAAGCTTTTGGCCATCCTCGACTGCTTTCCCAGGCCACAAGCAGGGAGCTGGATGGGAAGTGGAGCTGCCGGGATTAGGACCGACGCCCATATGGGATCCCAGTGCATTCAAGGCGAGGATTTTAACCACTACACTATCACGCTGGGCCCAGCCAAGTGATGTTCTAACTACAGTGCCCACCCATCACTTTTTCTCTTAGCACATACAAGAATTTTTATTTTTATGTAACTTTTTAAAGTTTAAAAAAGTGTATTTATTGGAAGCAGTTTCAGACAGAGATGAGAGAAAGAGAGATTAAGATTTATTCCATCTGCTGATTCACTCCCCAAATGGCCGCAATGGCTAGAGCTGAGCCAGGCTGAAGCCTGGAGCCAGGAGTTTCTTTGGAGTTTCCATGTGGCTGCCGGGAGGCGCAGACACTTGGGCCATCTTTTGCTGCTTTCTGGGGACACATTAGCAGGGAGCTGGGTCAGGAATGGAATAGCTAGGGCTGGAACTGGCTATCATTCAGACTTTATGGACATTTGCTAATGAAATCTGCCCTTTTGTAAAGAAAGAGTTAAGGAAATAGCTTCAGGGATGTGGAAGTGGATTATTTGTGAGAAACAGGAAGAAATTCTTCAAATCAGAAAAGTAAGGATAGTTGTGGTTTTGGCGAGGTGCTAGCTTTAGAGGGAGTTGATTGGTTTAGTTTGTGGCAGACAGCTGACAAAGGCCCTGTTGTGATGACGGGCTCCCTTGGTGCTGTTTCTTGGCCGATGACTACAGCAGTTCTTGAGCCTCCGAAGTTCCAAGAAAGGTGCAAAATGGAGTTTCAGTCCTTATTCTGGACTGACTCCAAAGTTTTAATAGAGCCTATTCTGTGGATAGGATATAACTGGGGTCGTGGAATTACATGGCTCTAAGAGTAAGAATCGGGCCTTCAGAATGACATTTTTCTTTGTGCATCCTACTGGACATTTTCACGGTTGACTTTACTCGCTTAATGGCAATGCCTGCACTAATCAGAGAGACATGATTGGAATTTTAGACTTACAATAAAGGTAGCCTTTTAAAAAATTTCTTTTGGATAATGAGATCAGTATGTTAGCTTTCAACATAAAAGAAAAGAGAAAAGGCTCCATGGGAAGTGTTGCATTAAACAAAATTATTGATTTGCTAAAAAATGTGTCTGCTTTGTGTCAAGTAGTTTATATTGAGTTTTGGCTATGCAAAGATGAACAAAACAGACAGGATTCTCAATTCATATGACATAATGTTGAGTGGAGTTTCCTTTTTGATTTCCCACATTCTTTTAATATGTTGATGGATATTGTGATTTGACAAGAAGGGTTCAAAGTGAAAGTTTTAATTAGCCATGCATTCACTTGAGGGTAGAACTGTGTCTTGGTGTGATAATATTACTCAGAATGTACTCTCAGGAATGTTAAGTGACCTTACATCCTAGACTAGTGATGTGTGAGTTTTCTGTATTTTACTTGATCATGATTAGTCTCCATGTTGAGAGGTGGATAGTTTAGGCAACAAATCCACTGTGCATATGTGATACTGAATATAGGGTGTATGCTATTAGAAAATGTTAGATGTTAGAAAACTGTTGGACTTTAAGTATTCCTTAAAGTTTATTTCTTTGGAAAGTAGAGTTTAAGAGAGGACAGAGAGAGATCCAGGTGATGGTTCACTTGCCAAATGGCCACAGTGACTGGAACTAGGTTGATCTTAAGCCAGGAACCAGGAGCTTCCTCCAGGTCTCCCTTGTGGCTGCACGGGCCCAAGCACAATAGCAGGAAACTAAATTGGAAGTGGAACAGTTGGGACTCAAACCTTGCCTATATGGGATGCTTTGGGTCATCCTTGACTGCTTTCTCAGGCCACAAGCAGGGAGCTGGAAGGGAAGTGGAGCAGCCAGAACAGGAACCAATGCCCACGTGGGATCCTGGTGTTTGAATGGGGAGGATTAGACAAATGAGCCATCATGCTGATCCTGTCTCATCCATTTCTTTTTCTTTCTTTCTTTTTTTGAGATTTATTTAGCAGGGAGCCAGATAGGAAGCGGGGCCGCTGGGACCAGAACTGGCACCCACATGGGATCCCCGCATGTCTAAGGCAAGGACTTTAGCTGCTAGGCCACAGCACTGGGCCTCTACCTCATCCATTTCTAATGACTTTCCTGAGGCCCCCTCCAAGTATCAAAATGTCAGTATCCAAGGTACTTGAAAAAGTTTGTGGGAAATGCATATTATGAACAATTATGCATTGGTTTAAAATGTGTTTGCATCAAAATAAACTTTTTGCATGAACTTTTTGAAGTGCCCTCATATGAATTTGGAGATTAAATTTCTAATTTATGGACTCTGAATTTTGGTATAGTCCTTTAACACCAGAATTGTGATACATTAAAATTTGATCATATCTCAAGATACCCCTCATACCTTTACCACGTTTCTAACCTCTGGCAGCCACTATAGTTTTGTCCTATAGTGTAGTTTCTATAGTTTTGCCCTTTAAAATTTTTTTTCTCATAAATAGAATATTGATTCTTATTCCAAAGAAAATTTAATAAAGTCCGAAAATGCAGGTGTCATTTGCTGGACCCAGTCAGTGCTCCGAGGCTTCCTGCCTGTGTTGAGTTTGGGATTGTGGACATCCCGTGCGTGGTGCATCCCCACTCCCCTGTGTGCCTGGCATCAGAGACGGGGGGTACGTCTAAGGTGACCATTCTCTGAGAGGATTTTAACTTTATAGATCAGCTTGAATTGGGTCTGATAAACAGTTCTAGCAGCTCAGAATTAGAAATTTTCCGAAATAGCCATTAGTAAGGAGAAAATATTCCCCTCTTTAGAAATTACATGTGAGTGGCCTCCAGTAAAACATTAGCTAGAATACACAAGTAATCTCTACTTTATAAGCTTTGTGAGAACTGTTCTTTTTACTTTTCCAAAAGCAGTTGGGTGAGAGATAAAGAGAAAACAGGTTCACCTCACTTCACTAGGACATCATATTGGAAACACAATTTTCAGAGAAAGAACTATTAGAGGAAAGGTATTTAAAAGTGAAAGCATAGTAGTACCTAGTGTCATTATGTAAAGGTATTTTGACACTTTGTGGCTATGCTTAATTGTTTTCTCAACACTGTTAGAAGATACTCAACAATGGGTAGTATGTTTATTAATCACTGTTTTGTGAATTCGATTTTTGTATCTTTTTATTATCTTTCGTATGCCAAAGGCGTCTTCAGCTGAAACGTGTGAATTTTAGCTAGAAGGATCATTGTGTTTCTCCACAAAACCATATCATGGAAAATACTGTAGGTAAATAAAAATCATGGAGCTTAAAAAATTGGGTTTTTTTTTTAAGGCTTTGAAAATGATTCCGTAGAAGACCTTAAGGAGATGACTTCAATATCCTCTCGGAAGCGAGGTAAAAGAAGATACTTCTGGGAGTACAGTGAACAGCTTACACCGTCACAGCAGGAGAGGATTCTGAGGCCGTCTGAATGGAACCGAGACACCTTGCCAAGCAACATGTATCAGAAAAATGGCTTACATCATGGTAAGAGAGGGTTGTAGTCAAATATTTAGTTTTGCTTTAAATAGAGATACTGTGTCATAGCACCTAGTGTACACAGTTACTCAACCTGTTCTAGCAAATGAATATCCTTTACTTACGAGTTGCCTTTACCAGTGTTGAGAGCCATCAGATAAGAAGAGAGGGGGTACTATGTAAACTCTGTCATTTCCAGTCCTTGTTACGCTACCCGTTCATCCAGGAAATGGCAAGCAGGTTGCTATTCATGACCTGCCATAGTTATTTTAACCTGAAGGGTTGGGGAGAAAGCAAATGGGCTCAAGTGTTTTTCTTTCCTGTTTATATCCAATCCTCAGATCTAGATGTCAGTGAAGAGATTGCATTTAAAATGGTATTGGGAAGAAAAGGAAAGGAAATGAAAGAACAGTTGTGGAGCAAAGAAGGGGAAGACTTGAAAAGTAAAAATTGGAAATAAGAAGTTATACTTTTAGGTCGGTCACTTTATTTTCCAGAGAGAGGGAGAGGTAGGTCAAAGCCAGGAGTCACAGTCTAGCTCTCCACTTGGATGGGAGATGCTCATCTGCCTGCCTCCTGGGGTCTGCATTAGCAGGAGGCTAGTCAGGAGTTGCATCTGAGTCTTGAACCCAGACACTCCAGTGTGGATAGACGCATGTTAACTGCCAGGTGAAATGGTTGCCCCAGGTACATCAGATTTTAAATTGAGAACCTGAGAACTGTGATTAAGTAGATTTTCTTTTACATAAATGTTATTTTTACATTAATCCAAAGATTTTAACTAAAAAGATATGGAAGGAAGAAGTACTAGTAAGTTTGATAAGGTTTTTAAAGTTTGATAAATAGCTTTTAATATTTATCCATGCTACAGATTTAAGTTACTAAGCATTTTTAAGGGAAGGACTTGTATCTGAATTATAATTCTGCCTCACGTTTTTCTTTCTATTGGTATCCAAGACTGTGCTATACTGTCTCCCAAAGTTTTGCTTTAGATAATTTTTTTTTAAACAAGAAATGAAAGTGTAAATCCAATAGATAATTCTAGGTTGGATGTGATGTGTACTATGGAAACTAGCATGCTGAAGAAGGTTGGGTGGCAGAGCCATCCTTTTGCCTCGAGTTTTAGGGCAAGACTTCCTGAGTTTTCTATAATGTTATTTTTCATCATTTCCAAAAGAATTTCAAGCAGTGTGATCTTTTTTTGTTGGATTTCTTTTTCTGTTTTAAGATTTGTGTTATTTATTTGGAAGAGTTACACAGAGAGACAGAGAAAGATCTTCCATTGGCTGGTTCCTCTCCAGATGGGTACAACAGCCCGGGCTGGGCCAGGCCAAAGGCAGGAGCCAAGAGCTTCCTCCTTGTCTCCCGTGTGGGCTGTCTTTGCTGCTTTTCCTGGGCCATTTTCATGGGGCTGGAGTGGAAGGGGGCACCTGGCACATTAACCAGAGCCCATTTGAGATGCTGGCATTGCAGGTGGTAGCTTTACCCACAGTACCACAACACTGGACCCACTTGTTGGTGTTTTGAGTCCAACAGATAAGTTTATATGTTTTCAGTGCCAGCATTTAAATATCTTGGTTTGTATGTTTGCAGTACTTGCATTTAAACATCTTAACTAAACTTCCAGACTCTTCTGATCATAGTTTATACTCTATTTCTGATTTTTGTGTGTGGTTGAACCACGCCAGTCCCAGGATTTGAGATACTTAGCACTATTATGCAAATACTTAGAAATTTTTCAGACTAGGGCTAGAAACCTAGGGATAGATAAACACATGGAAAACATTGGAATCATTTCTTAACAGCTGCAACATGAGGAAGAGTTTTATATAAAACATGGGTGTGGGGGGAATGTCTGTCATTAAAATGACCTAACTGAAACTTGTTTTCAACTGCCGATAGGAAAGTACGCAGTAAAGAAGTCCCGGCGAACTGACGTGGAAGACCTGACTCCCAACCCTAAAAAGCTGCTGCAGATAGGCAGTGAGCTGCGCAAGCTGAACCAGGTCATCAGCGACCTGACCCCGGTCAGTGAGCTGCCCTTGACAGCCCGCCCAAGGTCGAGGAAGGAGAAGAACAAGCTGGCCTCCAGGTAAACACCGCCACCCTGCGCTCCCGGGCACCAAGGCGATGGCGGGGTTAGATGCCAACTAACTTTTATTTCTATAGAAAAGATGACCTTCATCTGTTATTCAGAAATTAGATGTTTTTCCAATTACTATAAAGAGATTACAAATTTATATTTTCAAAGTAAAAGGTGATGTTTATGTTCTGCTAGAAGAAGCTTCTGGGAGGGAGGAAAGGAATGGAGTCAAGTACATACGATGGTATGCCAGTGGAAAAGACTGCTTCTGTTGGCTTTTTAAAAATGATTTATTGAGATATAATTTGCTAGTATAAATTTATCCCTTTTAACGTGCACTTTTGTGAGTTATTTTATGAATTGTCTTATGTTTTGTGACCAACATATCTACTCAATAGCTGTCATTATACTTAATGTTTTGAATATTTTCATCATCTTAGCAAGATTCTTTTTTATTTTTTGGAGCACCTTAAAAGGTTGTAAAAGTAAACCCCTTTCCTCACCCTCGCCCCTGACAGTGATGGTTTTGTCCTTATCATTTTGCCTCTTGCAGAATATGAGTGAAATATACTGTATGTAGCCTTTTGAGTCTAGCTTGCACTTAATGCATTCATGCTTGTTATTGCATGAAATTGTTTGCTCCTTCTTATTGCTGACAAGTCCTTTGTGAGCCGTCCTGTGGTTTATCCATTGGCCAGGTAAAGGGCATATGGATTGCTTCTGGTTTTTGGCAATTTTTGAGTAAGGACATGGTGAACATTCACTTACAGTTTTGTATGGGTAATTGGGTGAACACAGGTTCATGTCTCTTGGATAAACACCCAGGTGTATATTTTTAACTTTGTAAGAAACTGGCAGACTGTTTTTCGGACTAGCTGTATGTACTGCTTTACATTCCCACTAGCAGCCTATGAAGATTTTACTTACTTCATGTCTTCTACAATACTTGATATTACTAGTTTTTATTTCTTACTTTTTAACCCACATATGCTAGCTTTAATTTTTGAATGTTTACTAAAGTTTTAAATGTCAATATGGATACATTATTGTGTTACGGGGTTTTGGTTTTTTTTTTTTTTTTGGTAGTTTAATTCCTTGCTAAATAAACATCAATAGGCAAAGGTTATATTGATTGCTATTATAAAATGTTTCACAGCAGCAAGAAGTATATCTTGAATACCACTCAAAAATAAACTAATCACTCTTTCTCTTACAGAGCTTGTCGGTTAAAGAAAAAAGCCCAATATGAAGCTAATAAGGTGAAACTATGGGGCCTCAACACAGAATACGGTAAACAAACTTTTTAGAATTTTATTCACTGCTGTTAGCTTTGCTGACCACTCTTCTTTTCCTCTGGTTTATTATTTGTTTTCCCTGCATTGCACCCAGCTTTTGGCTAATTTTTTTTCCAAGCAAGTCTTTTTATAATATTTATTTTTATTTGGAAGACAGATTTACAGAGAGAAGAGAAATAGAGAAAGATCTTCCATCTGCAGATTCTGTCCCCCTAATGGCTGCAAGAGCCAGAGCTGAGCTGAAGCCAGAAGCCAGGAGCTTCCTCTGAGTTCCCCCGTGGGTGCAGGGTCCCAAGGCTTTGGGCCATCCTGTACTGCTTTTTCAGGCCATAAGCAGGGAGCTGGACGGGAAGTAGAGCAGCTGGGACACGAATCTGTGCCTATATGGGATGCTGTTGCCACAGGTGGAAGATTAGCTTGTTAAGCCTCAGGGCTAGCCCTTGCTAGTCTTATTTTTATTCATCCATTTAGTTAGCCACATGTTCATGTTCGTTCATTCTTTTTTTTTTCTTTTTAAGTATTTTGCATATTTGAAATACAGAGTGACAGAAAAAGACAGAAAATAGTATTCCATCTGCTGAGTTGCTCCCCTAATGGGCACATCAGCCAGGACCAGTCTGAAACAGAGATCCAGGAATATCAGTCAGGTCTCATAGGGGCTCAAGCACTTGTGTCATCTGCAGTGCTTTCAGGCACATGGGCAGAGAGCTGGATTGGGAGTGGCACTCTGGTGATGAGAACTGATGTTTTTATTTCTTAATGGCCATTGAGGAGCTTTCACTAAGGTAAATGAATTATGTTTAAAAAAAAAAGTTGGTTTGTTAAATGGAAGTATTCTCTAATTTCCCATTATTCCTGTTTGCTTTTGAAGCATTTCATAATTTTTTCCCATGCATTTCCTCTTCTTTTATTACACGCTGCAGATTTCTGAACTCAGTATCCCGCCCTTAGTCTTCTCATTTAGAAATCAGTTTCATCTGCAGTGCATTGATTGGATTGTATGTGTTTTGTGTCCCACAAAGAGGACCGTTTTGTTCACAGTAGGATCATCATGCACAACAGTTTCTCCCACAGTCGACTCCTCTCAGTGTTGTAGAAGACACCCGTCCCGCTTGGCTTACCATTCTCACCAGAAAAGTAAGCTGTTAGAAGTTTGACTTGCTCTTGGCAAAGGAGGCAGCTGAGAGGAACACTGAAGAATTTCTTTAAGAAATTAAGACACAGAAAGATAACTCCCATGTGTCGGTTCGCTTTCTGAATACCCACAACTGCCAGAACTTGGCTGGAACTAGAAACTCAAACCCGGTCTCCCACTTGGGTGGCAGGGATCCAACTATTTGAAATATCGCTTGCTGCCTCCCAGGGTCTGGCTTGGTAGCAGGCACTTACTGATAGAGGATGTGGGTGTTTTGGCTGCTAAGTCAATTGCTAAGTTCACTGCCTGCTCTCTGTTGAAGCATTTGACCTTCAGCTCTGTGAGTCTTACCCTTGTTCTTCCTGGTTATCTGAAAGTTAGTCTACTACTCTTTGTGGAACACTTACTATTATCTGTATGCTAACCTATTGGTTTCTATATAGAATTTGTGATTCAAAACTCAAACATTTGGAAAATATTTGGGACTTAAGAGCAATGGCTTTTCAAATTTGCATTTTGAAAAGTGAGGTCGTTGAAAGGAACATCATCTATGATTACTATAATTTTATAAAGGAATTAAAATTAAAATCTTTTTTAAGATTTATTCATTTTATTGGAAAGGCAGATTTACAGAGAGAAGGAAATACAGAGAGAATGATCTTCCATCCTCTGGTTCACTCCCCAAGTGGCCATTGTGGTCGGAGCTGAGCCAATCCAAAGCCAGGAGGAGCCAGGAGCCTTTTCTAGGTCTCCTACATGGGTGCAGGGTCCCAAGGCTTTGGGTAGTCCTCAACTGCTTTCCCAGGCCACAAGCAGGGAGCTGGATGGGAAGTGGAGCTGCCAGGAATGAACCAGCACCGATATGGGATCCCAGTGATTGCAAGGTGAAGATTTAGCCACTAGTCCATTGCTCCTGGCCTGAAGTTAAAATCTTGAGAGCTAGATGCTTCTGTTTCCAAAGCCAAAGTTTTACGGCAGGGCAGTGCTTCCTTCTCCACCTCCACTTGTGCTTGCATGGCTACTGCCAAGATTTGAGAAGAGTAGTTCTGCTGTTTTATTTTTGATTTTATTATATTTTTTGACTTGATATATTTAGGGGAACCTCCTTGTTCAAGTTTAGGCTTCATGTAAATGTCATTATTTGTATTTAAACAAAAGTGTTCAGCCTCAGTTATTCATGGACCAGAAGTGTAAGTTTCTTGTTTCATGTATTCTATGGAGGTAGCTGTACTTTCCTTGTTTAATGAAATATTGGCCCTGCATATAATTTTATCTTAACGATTTGTTTGTTTTTTTGTTGGAAAGATAGATTTATAGAGACAAGGAGAGACAAAGATCTTCCATCTGCTGGTTCACTCCCCAGATGGCTGCAATAGCAGGAGCTGAGCCCATCAGGAGCCAGAAGCTTCTTCTGGGTCTTCTACATGGGTACAGGTCCCAAGGCTTTGGGCCATCCTCTACTGCTTTCTCATGCCACAAGTAGGGAGATGGAGTAGCTGGGACATGAACTGGCATCCATATGGGATGCTGGCACTTGCAGGGCGAGGATTACCCAGTGGAACCATTGTGTTGGCCTCCCTGCATGTGCTTTTAAATTGTTTCCCTTCTGTTATTTGTTCATTTTTCTTTTCTACTCAGTTTAGATTGCCTCTTTTTTTTCAATGTTTTCAGTAGTTGAAAAACAATAAATCTGTAATTGAGAGAGATGATGGTCTGTGGTTTTCTTTATACATGGTCTCATACAATGAATTAGGCCATGGTCTTTCTCCCTGTCTCTGTCTTGAGAAAGTTTAATGAGATTCATCTCTTCATTGAATATTTGGTAGCATTCACTATTAAAATTCTAATTTTTCTTTTGGCACTATTTTTTTTTTTGTTTTCCATTCTTATACTATAAGTAAACCATTCAGATTTTCCATTTTTTCATGTATTGATTTTGTTAAGATACATTTTCTAGAGATTTGTCCCACTTTATTCGAGTTCATAGCATTTTCTAGAAATTTGTTTCACTTTATTCAAGTCCGTAGTGTTTTCTTCTTACCTTTTTCAGCTTATCGATTCTGAAGTGGTGATGGATGTGGATGACTGGTGTTTCTGTTTTAGGATCGGTCTGGCTGGGTGTACAGGTGGAGTTGGCAGTTTTGCTCTTTTCAAGAACGGGCCTTTGGCCTTGTTATTCTCTGGTGTGTGTGTGTGTGTGTGTGTGTGTGTGTTTGCTTTGTTGATTTTTGCTCTATATTATTTTTTCTTCCTTCTACTTTTGTTTAACTTTTTTTTTAAGTTTCTTGAAGTAGGAGAACTTGTTTATAAAGCTTTTTATCTCTGAAGAACTTGATTTGATTTGTTCAGTAAACATTTGCATTATTTAATATGAAAGTCATTTTGATAGGTCTTAAAGTTAGGAAAATGAATTAATCCAATTGCTTATAGGATTGAGGACGTAGGTGTCAAGCTCCCAGGTGTTACCAAAAGCAACATATCATCCAATGTTCGTCCCTTTGGGTAGAAAGACTTACAGTCATCATTGCTTAATGTTTTCTTATATATTTTCCATTTTAATTAATATCTATTACTACATAATGAAAAGCAAGTTCTTCTGTGTTATTGACCTAGTCCAAATGTTTTTCTTTTCTCTTCTATAGATAATTTATTGTTTGTAATAAACTCCATCAAGCAAGAGATTGTAAATCGGGTACAGAATCCGAGAGAGGAGAGAGGCCCCAACATGGGACAGAAGCTTGAACTCCTTATAAAAGATACTCTGGGTAAGAATTTGGGTAAATTCATCATCAATAGTAAAATACATGATTCATACGGAAACCAAGTCCTTTTAGCCTGGGGAAAAGCGCAAGCGCTGTCAGTGTAGTTAAGGCTCCCTAGAGCAGTTTCTCTTTTGAGCTCTGTGTTTGTAAACGTGCACGCCTGCTTCCTACAGTTCGCGATTTAGACTTAATTGCTGAACTACTTAGGAAAGACAAATGTGGAGCAACTTGAGTTTCCTTGAGAGAAACAAGGGAAGCCCCTGAGCTGTCAGGCTTGAGATTTATACTTTGGTGGAGATTTTTATTTGTTTATGGTACTCACTAACACGTTTCATAGGGTCTTAACTGAGTAGGCTACCTGGTTTCCCATTCCTGCTTGGATTGTACCAGATAGAGAGGATCAGAGTGGCAGCTTAGCTACCGTAGCAGCAAACCACCTGACCAGTCAGTGCTGTGCTAAGCCTGTCCTAGCAGAGGATGGTCCCTGGAAACCACCCAGATGTTTACCTTGCACAAAGCCCTGTTTATACTGAAAACAACCATAGGGTGACAAGTAGATCCTAAATACTGACCTCTTCCTAGACTGCCACAAATTGGTTTCTACTTTTGTGTGGGTAATTCTAGCACACAAGAAGCTTTTCTCTTCAGACAGATTGATACTATTTGAATGGAATTTTTAAGTTTAATTTTTAGAATTTATTTCCATTGGAAGACAAAGAGAGAGCATACCCCTGTCCACTGGTTCATTCCCCAAATGCCTGCAACTGGGGCTGTGCCAGGTGGGAGTCAGAAGCCAGGAACTCAGTCCACGTCTCTTCCACGTGGGAAGTGACTTCAGTGCCTCACAGGGTTACCTCCAGCAGGGAACTGGAATCAAGAGTTGGGACTCAATGGTGGCACTTCTATATGAGCTATGGGCATCCTAGCAGCATGCTGTTAGGCCAAGCAACTGCCTTTTAATATATTCTTTTAATGTATGTGTTATGTCAAATAATTGTTATCTTTGTTTTTTAAAAAGCATTTTCAGTCTTTGCTAGGAGGAATGACTTTAATGACTTTAATTTATTACAGGAAAAAAATTATTTCTATCTTTTCATTAAAAGGTCCTGTATATAATTTCATAAGAGTGCATGCTCCCTTTGCACTTAAAAGTTATTTTTACCAGTTGTACAATTTTTATCCATTCCAGCTGGTGGGGTTTACAGCCTAGCCCAGCCCAGCTGGCCCCACATCCCAGCTGTAATGTGTACTGGTATGTATTGCAACCAAACCTGTCCCAACCCACACTCTATTCTGGTGATCAGATTCGCCAAGAGGTGATGTGAATTGGTTCAGTCTGGTCCACCCCTGACCTATGCCAAATGTATGCCAGTGGGTACCTTTCTCTGGCCTCATCTGGGCTGCTCCCTATCATGGTTCTTGCACTTACCTGCAAGGACTGTGTCCTGCCAGAGGAGTTTCCCAAGCTCTTCCATCAAAACCTCTCCCCATGGCAGATCTTGCACATATCAGTGGGCCCATGGGCCAGCCCTGCACAGTCCATCTCCTGTCCTAGCAGGAACAGTGGCCTTTCCTGACTGGTCTTCAACCCATTCTGGTTCTTATTGTTGGATGTTTCGGCCCAGCCAAGGCTCATCCATACCCAGACACAGCTCAGTCATGGCTCAGTGAGGGCAGAGACCTAGCCTAATCCATCCTACATCTATCCTGGTTCTCCAGAGCACCAGATGGTGCTGGAGTCTAGCCCAGCTTGGTGTGTCCAGCCCCAGTTCACACTCGCACCAAGGGAGACTGCAGCCATATCCAGACCAGAACACAGCCCCACTCCAGCCCCGCACTCACCGGTGGGAACCCCAACCCAGCTAGGGTGTCCTTTTAGCTCCCCAACCAGGCCTGTTCCCAGCCATAGATTGTGCATGTGCCAGTGTTTGCTCTGACATAGCTTGGCATAGCCTCTCACCTGTCTTGGCCTTTGCCTTCGATGCTGTGGCCTAACGTCCCTGGCTCATGCAGACCAGTAGGTGTAAGAGCCCAGCTCAGTATGACCTGTGCTCCAGTCTGATTTCTGTTTTTGCTTCTGAGCTAAGGTTTACTCGGCCCTGCCCAGTCTGCCACCTTGCATCATTGACCCACACATTAGCCAGCCATTGGAGCTACTTTGCCCAACTTGTCTGACCCCCAGGCCTGGACCATGAAATCATCAGTGAGAGTTGTGACCCACTAGGGGAATTTCCCAAGTTCCCCCATTTGACCCACTCCGAGACCCAAATCTCATTCATGCCGGTGGGTATTAGGCCAGTCCGGCATAGTCTGCCCTTCCATTTGGATTTGTATGAGCTGGTGAACATTGCAGCGTGGCCCACCCCACACCCTGCTTTAGGATGCACATTCAGGTGCTGCTGCCTTGACCTGCCCAGACTGTTATTGGTTCCTTTACCTGTGAGTGATGGCAGGCTCCTTGGTCACACCTAGTTTAGTCCATCATCACCCCAACTCTTGAGCTGACCAGCAGGACTAGTATTTCCACAGGGTTTGGCGTGCTGGTTAATGTCCTGGCCCTGCCTAATGTTACCTATCTCCTGATCCATCATTCTGTCAGGTACTAGGATCTGGTCCTGCTAGACAGGCCCCAAGCATTAGCTTTGGCATGGACTGGTGTATGGTGGTCAGCATTGTTCGGTGATAACAAATTCTGCACAGGACTCCCATGTAGGCTGGCAAATCAGTCTGATCCATGAAGATCATCTGGTCCCTCTTCTCCAAACCACCAGGTCTAAGTACCCTCGCTTACCTTCAGAGGAAAAGTTACTCTGTCGTATGGAGTCTTCAGGATTGATTCGCAACCCAGAAGCACAGTGGGCTGAACATGGAGGTGCCTAGACAGCAATTCATAGCCCCCAAGCCCCAGAGCTCACCGTAGGGTGGCCAGCAGGCAGAGCCTGGTGCCAAATGGTGCACTGGCCTCCCAGGGACAGCTCACTGTGTGTACACGGCGGCTGGAATCAGGGCTCTGAACATGGAGACGGATCTGGCCTGGAACCTTCCAGCAGCCAACAGGCTGCTGGAAATTTTAATCCCCAGACCCCAAGGTTGCCCCTTCCAATCCCATCCATTGCACAATGTTGGCAGCGGTTCGGGCCTGAGCCCACCCTGTTCTCCAGATTTCCCCTCTCAGTGTACTCACCAGGAAGGGAGCAGCCTCTGGAGCTCAGGAAGGCCTGGGGACAACTCACCGCATGTTCACAGTGACTGGAATCAGGGCTCCGAGCATGGAGACGGATCCGGCCTGGAACCTGTCCCATTCTGATCTTTTTAATTGAGTATTTAATCACTGCCTTGAGATGCTTTTCTTCCACCAGGACTATGCTGGCTCTTTGTGTGTTGGCAGTATTTGTCACTTTTTCTTCTCTATCTCCATATATATGTATATATAAGAATCATTTATTTACCTGAAAGGCAAAGTTACAAAGAGAGAAGAGAAAGCAAGTTTCTAGACACTGTTTTGTTCTCCCCAAATGGCTGCAGCAGCTGTAGTAAAGAATTGTATTTGTGGTTAGGACTGCATTTTCGTTTACTTTGTGCCATTGTGTGTGTGTGTGTGTGGTTTTTTGTTTTGTTTTTAAATTTGAAAAACAGAATGCCAGAGAAGGAGAAACAGAAAGAGCTCTTGTGTCTGATGGTTCCCTTTGCAGAATGGCCTTAATGCTTGGGGCTGATCATGGGGATTGGCAGCCGAGTACCTGGGCCATCGCCTGCTCCAGGATCTGAAGGGGAGGTGTCAGGACTCCAGCTGGCACTCGGATACAGGTGCCTACACTGCAGGTTAAGGTGGCTTAACCTGCGTGAACTACAATGCTAGTCCTTGTTCTTATTTCTTGAATTGATTAGAAGTTACTTGACTTCTCCCACCTCCCCTCCTCCTGCCAAACAATCATTTCTTGAATTTACCATCCTCTCCTTGCCCCTTCTCTCCGTTCCCCTCCCCCCTCTTCTTCCCTCTTCTCTTCCTTTCTTTTTTTCTGGAAGGCAGAGTTACAGGAAGAGGGAGAGACAGAAAGAGAGGTCATCCATCTGCTAGTCCACTTCCCTAAAAGTCCTCAGTGGCTTGAGTGAGGTTAGTCCAGAGCTAGGAACCAGGAGTTTGTTCCAGGTCTCCCACATGGGTGCAAGAACCCAAGCACTTGAGCCATCTTCTGCTGCTTTCCAAAGTATATTAGCAGGAAGCTAGATCAGGAATAGCTGGGACTTGAACCTGTGTCCATAGGGATGCCAGTGCTGCAGGTGATAGCTTTAGCTACTGTACCACAGTGCCAGCCCATTTTCTCATTTCTTTAGTTATTAGTTATTAAAAAGATTTTTATTCTTTTGTGCCTACTTACATAAATAAAAGCCTTTGAAATTTCTTCTGAGAGTGGCTTTAGCTGTATTTCATAAGTCTTGATATCATATATTCATTATTTCAAAAACTTTGAAATTTTAAGTTAATTTACTCTATGAATCAAGAAACGTGTGAGGCTTAAACTTTCCTGGAAGGTAGGGATTTATTTTCTAGTTTTGTTACTAACTGCTACATCTTGTGATTTGTAGATTCTCTTAGCCATCTAATGCATGCTTATAGTTTTTTTTTTTTAAGCTTTATTTTTATTGGAAAGATTTACAGAGAGAAGGAGATACAGAGAGAAACAGTGTCCATCCACTGGTTCACTCCTCAATGGCCAGAATGGCCAGAGCTGAGCCGATCTGAAGCTAGGAGCCAGGAACCTCTTCCAGGTCTCCCATGTGGGTACACGGTCCCAAGGCTTTGGGCCTTCCTCCGCTGCTTTCCCTGGCCACAACCAGGGAGCTGGATGGGAAGTGGAGCAGCTAGAACATGAATCTGTGCCTGTTTGAAATGTCGGCACTCAGAAGGTGTAGGATTAGCCATTCAAGCGATCACGTCACATGATTACAACTTGAAATGCTTATGTGGACATTTGAAAAGATGCACTGTCTGTTTGCTATTTACCCTACAGATATTTTAACTACATCATATTCTTCTTAGCTTTTTTTTTTTTTTTGGTGGTTGCATTAGTAATTTTTTTTTTTTTGGTAATAAATATCAGATGGAAGCTATGTGTGAACAAAAAAGGTGTGTTTTGACTGAAGGTTTTGAAGTTAGCAGTTGGAGATTGGATAGCCCTGTTGTGGTGTTTGGCGAACATGGAGAGAATCAATAGGACAGGGTGCAGGCAGAGGCCTAGCCTTCTGGTGAGAACTGCCTCCTGACAGCGTCACCCCAGTGACCTCTGCACCTTGGAGGCCCTCCTACCCTGTGGGCACAGGGGGACACCAAAACTAAGAGCTAGACCAGCAGCCCAGGTGGGGATCCGTCCTCAGCAGAAGGGTTCCAGGGGTATTGCGTTGTTTCTGTTTTGTTTGGTGTTTCAGGTGTGTTCCATTGTTTCTGTGTTTTGTTTCGAATGCTAGAATGTTACAGTTCTTTTCTACAAGATCTTCCTTAAGGGTTACAGTCTTCATCATCACAAAGTGTCTCCATTTACTTTGTTGACTGCTTCTGCCCTTCCCTCTCTTCTGTGTGGTGATACACCCAGGAATGCAGCTTTATCATACCTGTTGGTGCAGTGTCCCTGTCCTGCCCTTGGGTTAACAATCCTGAATCACTTTGTATCTCCTTTCCATCCAAGTGCTTCCACACTGGTGTAAGAGCTAACATGTGGAATCCTTGTTGAAGTTCCCCTGGTTGTTTTAGTAATATCCTTGTAGCCTTTGTGTGTTTGTGATCCAGCTGAGGATCATGCATTGCATTTAGTTATGTTTCTTTCGTCTCCTTTAAACTACATCTGTCTGCCAGGCATTTTGGTGGAATGTTCTAAATGTCTCAATATTTGGATTTCTCCATTTCCTCACAACTAAATGCAGTTCAGCATTTTGACAGGAATACACCAAATGTTCCTGTCATTGATCAGCCAAGAGGCACATAATATTAATTTGTCCTATGGTTAACCATGCTAAATCTGATACATATTTAAGATGACATCAATATTTTCTACAATATCTTTTGACTTCTTCTGTGGGCAATGATTAAATAAATGTTTCACCTTTTTGTTTTATTGAAACCTTAAAAATATGTATGCACCTGTGTAATTTGACTTATTAATTGTAAATATGTTTTGATGAGGAAGATAAGCAGGTCAACATGTATGCTGCCCCCACTTCCACTTTTCCTCCCTCATTTAAACTTTCTTGTTTAGCTGACTTTTCCTTACAATGAAGGGAGCATACTTTGCATTGATTATACAGAGGGCTGAAAATGTCCTTGAGGTCTGTTTCCATTCCATGAGTAACCACCCTCCCCCGCCTCCTGCACACACACACACACACACAAACACACACACACACACACACACACACACACACACACAGTGAAAGGCAGAAAGCACAGTGGGTGTTCTTGAGAAGCAGTGTCTGAGTCTCTGGGTGCAAAATAGGCTGCTACAACTTCTCCACTCCACTGTGTGCTGCGGAGCACACTTCATTTGACTCTCCCAATCGTAAAACTGTGGGTTCTAGGATTGGATATGTGGAATGATTTTCTGGGCTTCAGGCAACAAGCAGCTGAGGGTTCCCTTGAGACCTGCGTCAAGCTTAGGACCCCAGCTGACCCTCAGCTATTCCCACCTCTCCCTTTCCCTAGGTGCCTACTCCGGATCTGTGTCTAAGTGTGCCTTTTATTCTTCTCTTCAGGTCTCCCAGTCGCTGGGCAAACCTCTGAATTTGTTAACCAGGTGTTAGAGAAGACCGCAGAAGGCAATCCCACTGGAGGCCTTGTAGGACTAAGGATACCAACATCAAAAGTGTAATCACCTTCATCGGACCACTGGTCAGAAATGGCTGTTTTGGTCATGTTAGCCATTGTAAATTTTCATTCTGTTTTGCATGTCAGTTAGCATTATGTAAACATTTAACAATTAGGTTACATTGTTTTAAAAACTAAATAGCATAAGTGAAGCATGATCCAAAATACTTGATTATTACATTTTCAGAGCATAAACCATGGTGAAAACTGCTACTGGCATGAGGACTGAAAAGTAAATGCTTAGATCCAGTTTGCAAAAAAAAGTATTAAACTGTAATGTTTTGGGCAAGTCACTGTGGTAGCAAATGCCAAGGATTGTGGCAGGTTTATGCTCTGAACCACACAAAAAAAATTGAGGAAGCATTTTTTTTGAACAGTTTAGATTGTTTTAGAATTATTGCTTTTGTTCTCTAATTTTCCACAACCATTAATCTCACCTGTACATGGCACACCCAACATTCATGCCTGTGTGCCATATTAGATGTTCATTTTCAAAGCTCAATATGATATATATAAATATAAATATATATATAGATATATATATAAATGTCTGTGCAAGTAAGAAAAAAAGCATATTCTTTGTGCCTTGTATTTTGGGGAAACTATAAAACTGGTAATATTTTGTATGATGAAAACCCTAATGAAGAAAACCAAGATATATAGATGGAAAAATTATGGGGTTTAAACATTTTTTGTTCCAACTCTTTTTCAAATTTTTTGAATGTATATAGGACTATGTTGAAATGTAGATATATGCCACAGAGTCTGTGTATTGTATAAAAAAAAAACAAAAACAAAAACAAACAAAAAAAAGATGGTTCTAGAAAACTCCTATTTCGGTACTTGACCGGAAGAAGACAAATACTTGCACATTATTGCGATTGTTTTATTTTTTTGTACCAAAGACAAATGCAACTGATACGGCAAACTGCCAGTCTAAGTAAAGTTTTGCACAGCTTACATGATACTGTATGAATGTATGAAAAAAAAAGGAGAAAAAAAAACCTAAAAGGTCAGGGTTAGGGATCTTACTGAACTGTGAATTTTATTTCTGTTTGGGTCCAATTATCTACAGAAGGAGCATCCATACATACAAATATTATTTTGCTGTTCCTCTAGTTCGCTTCCATAGTAGATAAGTTGGTGGCCATGTAGATGTCTGTAAGTCTTTTATTTCTGCACTTATTGTAGAAAATTTTAATATATTTCATTTTAGTAAGCTATTGGTAAAATAGCTTTAGACTTTGAAAATTAAAGTTTATTTAGCTTATTGTAGTATACTTCCACCAAACAACCAAAATACAGATTATTTTTATCGTATTATGTATATATGTAAAGAAAGAAAAAGCTAAAAATATCTAATTCTTTAGTTGTCACTTTTCCAATTGATGTATTATTGTGCATGTAATATTTTCAGAGATCAACACAAGCTTAAAACAAAAACAAATTTATAGATTTTTATATTTTTGTACAGATATTTTCAGACTAGCTTCTTCAGACTTACATGTGACTTATTCTTCTAGTTTCTAGAACTGAGAAACATTAACATATTTAGTTTTTAGGTGCTCTTTTGCTCACATGAAACAGCTTAATTAGTCAGTGTTTTAACTGTGTTCAAGCTTTACCTCTTGACAAGAGATTTTTTTACGTCAAGGCAGCATTATCAATCTTCCCCACAGGTTTTTTCGTCTGTCTGTCTCACTGTTTTACTCTTGTATCTTTGCTTCAAACCCTGAGAACTGGTGGCTTAAAAACTAAAGAAAAAACAAATATATAGCAAAACAATACCAAAAACTTCAGCCCCGGCTGCTGGGAAGGCCTTTCCCTAGCACCCTCTGTACAGTGGTTCATGCTCTGTCCGCAGAGTACACATGTCTTTTACTTTCTCCTCCCCATCTTCCTCACTTCTGAGTCACAGCACATGAAGCTATTGGCTTAATAAGGTTTGTTTCTAGAACACACCAAGACTCAGCAATGTTGTGAATTTGCTTCTTGGACATCATGAAAAAGGAGCTCTGAGAAGGATTTGATTGTTCACACGTTAGCTGAACTGCAGTGGACGGGATTTCCCTGTGTGTTTGGTGGAAATGTACCTGGCTCATGCATGCACGTGAGGAAACAAGCGCAAGTCTGACGAGAACGCAGTGCCCCTTGCAGGTGGGCAAGGCAAGGCACAGGTTTGCAGCTTGGAAGCGTGTGAAGTCGTGACAGAGTGTGTTTGGTAATTTGAAAGGTATTCCAAAATATGGCAGTTTTGCAATCAGGTGAAAACCGCTTTGTGATAGAGATCAGCTGATGAGGTTTATAAAATTGCCCCTTTGTAGCCGCTCTGTTAGCACTTCTGGGTTTTGATACTTTTTTCCTGTCTGCAAACCAGAATTTGATTTTTTGGTCTTGCATTTCAAAAAAAGAAAAAAGGAAAAAAAAAAGACTTTGAATCTGTTTAGTAGATTCCATATCCTTGCATTTCAGTGTTTTATATGTACTACTTAAGTTAAATAGTTAAAAGCTTTTAAATAGTTGAGCTTTTTAATGTTGACACTTTATTTTGTACCTATTTATATATGTATGTATATCTTAGAAAAGCACTTTGTTAAAAAAAATTGCATTTTATATGATTCCTGCCATTTGCTGCTAAATCTGGGCTGGTCAGAATGCTGCAGCGATACTTGATCTAAATAAAACCTGGCAGTAAAATGTAGAGTGGAAGTTAAAGCCTCTTGCTGTTTTAACTTTATCATAAAGATGACATAGGCAAGCTGTGCAGCTTTACATTTTAACCAGGGGACTCTGTGGCATTTAAAACCGTCTAGAAATGGTTGTACTTTAATGCCAGTAATAATCTGCTTCCTCTATTGTCATTCAAATATGTACGTTTAGTGTGTCACACAAACCAATCTTACAAGGTAATGTAAAAACCCCAACAATTGTACATGTTCTGTTTTGGTTTTTTGTTTTTTTTATTTTTGATGGTGGCATGTATTTTTGGGCAAAGATCGTTAGAGTTCTTTTCTCTAAAGGTTTTCTGTGTTTATACATGGTATGTGCAGATAGCTCATAAGAAGTCCAAAATCTCACTTCTAAGTGAAGGCGTTATGAGTTCACCTCAACTAAATCCATTTTTCCAAAAGCAGTTACAAACTTTGACTCTAGTACTACTATGATTTAAAAAAACAAAAGAAAACAAACAAACAAAAAAAACCCCTTTTTTCCTAGTTTCAAAAACACTGGATTCTTCCTAGAGTCTGTCTCCACATGAAAGCATGCTGTCCAGTTGCTCTTGTTAAGATCTTGTCTGAGTTTTGAGTTGGTGTCACACTTTCTCAGTCACTACAGTTGCTCGTCCTGCTGTACCATGGATGGTTCCTGTCCTTTCCTCTGTCCTTCATGGCAGACTATGATGTGGCTTTATATTGTGCCTTACTTGTACATCTGAAACGAAGCATCTTCATTCCCTTCCATTGCCTCAATCTTCACCTTTGATCTTTTTGGTGTAAGAGAATCTGAGCTGTTGCAAAAGCGACAAGAAGGATTTCAGATGGTTGTGGTTTCTAATTCCCTCTCTTTATAGTTATTTGATATTTGTATGAAAGACCACTTTTGAACGGTCTTTGAATAAGAGAGGGAAAGGAGAGCAGTGCTTTACTAAGCTTTTATGAACTTGTCATACATCTTCTTTCTGATGCTTGACTGTATTTGCTTCTTAGCAATAGTCTGCATTTAAAGAAAGGTGTGTTCAGTTCCTCGGCTTGAAACTATTTCAATTTTCCAGATTTTTTTTAGAAGAGTACCCATTTTGTTCGTTTTATAAAACAGTTGACAAGTCTGTTTAAAAGAAACAGAAGTACAGTACTTTTGGAATACAATGCTGTTAGTTTGTTTTTCTTTTTTAAATATTTCATACAATTACCTGATGTTTGCCTTCATTAATAAAGCTGTTAGTTTATTCACCAAAACATCAAGAATGGATGTGCTTTTCTTTATTCCATACATTTTAAAATATTTTAGCTGCTAAGATTTAGTTAACTTTCTAAGAAATGAATTCAAGTTGCCTTCAGCAGGAATTAACAAAAACTTACTTTCCCTTTCTTTATATAGTCTTCCTAAGATTCTGTTCAAGTGTTTTCTAGCTAATTATGTAACAAGAATGTCAGCATCTCTCCAGATCTTGAAACTTGAATTTTGAGAATGCATTGAATTATGCTTTCAGTGTTAAAGTGAAAGGTTTCAACTATCCTTCTAGTGAAGTCGATCGTGGAATACCATTTCCCATGGAACTGAGGCCATTTCCACAACTTTGCACAGAACTGCAGTCCTGTTCTTCCCTTGGAGCATGACAGATAAGTCTCACCCAGTGCCGTAACACTTGTGGATTCTTTTGTAATCTTTGTAATCTTCATAAGGGCATTATGAGATGACGACTCCATGGTTTTTTTTTTCTTAATATTTCAAACACATTGGGATGTAACAATGAATGTCAACTGTAGGAATGGTTGTTTCGTTTTAAGGAATAAGCACGTTGGGGCAAGATGATGAAAATGTACTACTGAAAGTTAAACACTTCCATAGGCATGTAGGGTTATGTGTTCAAGCATAGTCCTCTTGCTTAGTAAACTGACTGAAATTGTAAAAATGTTACACCTAGGAACTGAACTATGCCAAATTTCTATTTTTGTGCAGAAAAGAGAGTTTTGGAGGTAGTAATGAGGGAACAAAACCTAAAACTACTTCCAAATCATATTTTGGAATTGAAGACTTGGTGACTGGCAAAGAACATCAAAGTTGGGTATTTCCGTGTGCCAAGTTCGGGTGAACTAGGTTTGCCTCTTTGATAACAATGTAAACACAATGGTGTAGTTAATTCTGGGTGAATGTGAGCAAGACCGATGACTGTGTCTTGCCCTTCACCCTTTGTTTTTTTTCAGAACCAAATAACTGAAATGTTTGTGTGTACTGTATCTGCCTTTCCATGACATTTTTATGACACTGTATTCCACTGCCTGCTTTTTAAAAAACAAACACCCTTCCTTCCCTAGGCCGTGTCCTGTAGCTTAGCATTTCTGGTTAGCAGTGAGACCAGGACCCACAGCACGGAAGTCACGAGAGGGGAAGGGCAAGAATTCAAAGCATTTGTTCCTACAATGCGGCAACCTGGTTTGCATTTGTAATGCTATCATAAATACTCTGTGGTTTTGGTTTTCCCCCCTCACCAACTGGAGCTATGACACTTTGTATTGGATTCAGTCTTGTCTCTTGTCTAGAAAGTTTATCTTGTTGATGCATGAGCTGTTTAAAAAATTATTCTATTAAATGTTGGTTACTAGTTGTGGCGTTTTTCATTTCCGAGGAAAAGGCGATGCACACGTAGCCTTGTTTCTGTCACTTCCGACCCTCAGCACTCCTAGTCAGATACAGATTCATCAGTGTATGCGACAGCCTTTGTAATTTAAAATAAAAAAGATGAAAATGGTTTTGAATTGTTTGCCTCATGTTTTTGCCTTGCCTTTCTCTCTTCATTTCTTAACACTGTAACCATCCATTCCTCAAGACCACCCACTCCAAAGAAATTCCGAACCAAAGAGAGTACGGAGTTTACTGCCTGTGCAGCCCCATTCTTGGTGATGTCCAGAGAGCTGGCTATTTTTTTTTATGCTTTAGATTGATTTTCCAATGTTTCAAAGAAATGGCTATTTTGTAGAATTGTAGAATTGACATAAACATTTGTATTCTTCATAGTTTAGAGCATAGTTTATACTTCTCTCCCTCTTTAATTCTTTGGGTGAGCAATTTCTTCAAGGGAAATAAATCTTTTGAATCTCTCCTGATTGGAACATTTGTTTGTGTTGTATATTTAATCATTCTAATTACGCCACCAGGTATGGCTGGGCATATGGTCAGAGCCACAAGTCAGGGGATCCACATGAAATCCACTGAAAGAGTATGTGTTCCTTTTTGAGCACTTAACTGGGCCAGAACTTGTTCTGTGGGCCTGGTTAGCGAATTACTGAAGCAACCTCCAGGACTCCACAGTTGGCTGAGCGGGGCAGCAGGTGAACAGATGTGCAAGCAAATCAAGAACCATCTGAGATACGCAGAGGGCTCCAGGTACACTGTCACGGAAGGGTTTTCAAGGATGCGGGTGCCAAATCTGGAGTGGGGAGGGATGTTAGAGAAGAAATGATAGACTTGTGTGCTTAACGTCTTAAGTTATTGAGGGGATTCCCTCCTTTGAGGGACTCAGCAACCCAAGTGGACACGCCCTCCCATGGAGCAATTCTCCTTCAGCAATTCTCCTTCAATTCTCCTTGACGGTTCAATACCTCTGCTCCAGCATCCTTTGTCCTGGTCCTGGGAACTTGGGGAAGCAGGGTGTACAAGTCAGTGTAGTGCTTAGGGAGCTAAATTTCCTATGAGTAGTATCCAGTTAGATGGGTCATTTAACTGTCCCTCTGCAACAGCAGTGATTTGAAGCCAGGGAAGCTCTTCAGCCATAGAACTGGGGAAATCTGAAAAGAAGAAACGGCATTAGGAAATGCCTTAATGCCCTGCTAGAAGGTTAGACTAGAGGTGTCAGGGACAGGGCTGGGGTGATGTTCCCTCAGTCCCTGTGAGGTTCTGTGTCAGATCTGAAGGGCCCATTGAGGGTGATGGTTCTGTCCACTGTTACCAAAGAATCCAACTAGACTCAAATGAGGGGATGGGACAGAACCCCAGTTTGTATAATAGAGACCCCATTCAGAATCCAGTGGGCTCGCTGCACTCCAGGGCCGATCTCCGCTCCTCTCTAAGTGGCCAGCCACTGGTGGTACTTGGAAGAATGTGTGTGAAGGAAAACAGTGGGTTTAGAATCTGAAAACCAAAAAAGATACAAAGCCAAAAGTAGTAGATGTAGTAAGCCGAAACTGGCCTCAGCATCGTGTGAAGGGGTGAACGGGAGAGGGCTGGGAGAAATTGGGCACCGCCAGATTATGTGACTGTCCCTCAAGGCTGGCCTTGTAGTGACCGTTGTGAGGCAGCTTGCTAAGCCGCATGCTTCTGATCCACTCTGCTTCTCATCCGGCTTCGTACTCATGTGCCTGGGAAGGCTGCCAAAGTGTTTGGACCCCTGCCACCCGTGTGGCAGGGCAGGATGGAGTTCCTGGCTCCTGGCTTCAGCCTGGCCCAGTCCTGACTGTTGCTGTCATTTGAGGAGTGGCCAGATGGAAGAGTTCCCTCAATGTCTTCCTTTATTGCTCTGGTTTTCAAGCAAATATTTAAAAATAATAAATATTATGAAGGATACAGAACTTGAACAAATGGAAAGATATACCAAATGTTCAACAGCTGTCAACGTAAAGCTACCACTTCTGAATTTAAAATGTAACATCCTGATAAAGCATACCAGCAGGATTTTTAAAATTGATGTTGATATATAGGAGAAAGAGAATAAATGCTAGTCAGTACTAAAACTCATAAAACTATTGAAATGATCATTTTGGCGTTTGGATGGAGAGAAGTGGAAAGCAGACTTTTAAAGCCTAGAAATGCCCCCTGGCATGGTTAGCCTAGTTCCTAATCCTCACCTTGCATGCTTGGGATCACATGTGGGCACTGGTTCATGTCCCAGCAGCCCCACTTCCCATCCAGCTCCCTGCCTGTGGCCTGGGAAAGCAGTTGAGGACGGCCCAAAGCCTTGGGACCCTGCACCTGTGTGGGAGACCCGGAAGAGGCGCGTGGCTCCTGGCTCCAGAGTGGCTCAGCCATTACAGCTGTTGCAGTCACTTGGGGAGTGAATCAGTGGATGAAGATCTTTCTGTCTATCCTCCTTTCTGTGTGTATGACTTCCTAATAAAATAAAATTTTGGGCCTGGCACGGTGGCACAGTGGTTAAGGTCCTCGCCTTGCACGACCGGGATCCCATATGGGCGCCAGTTCTAATCCCGGCAGCCCCGCTTCCCTTCCAGCTCCCTGCCTGTGGCCTGGGAAAGCAGTCGAGGACGGCCCAGGGCTTTGGGACCCTGCACCCGCGTGGGAGACCCGGAAGAGGCTCCTGGCTTCGGATCAGCATAGTATCGGCCGTTGAGCTCGCCTGGGGAGTGAATCATCGGACAGAAGATCTTCCTGTCTCTCCTCTCTGTATATCCACCTTTCCAATAAAAATATAATAAAAATAAATCTTTAAAAAATAAATTAAAAAATAAAATCTTTTTTTAAAAAAAAGTAAAGCTTTGCAACACATCTCAAAGGACTAGTCCTAACATATACAGAACTTACAGAAATTGATAATATTAGCAACTCAGAGAAATGAGCAAAGTAAATACAAATATCTCAAACAGACGAGCTGCTCAGTCTCATCATAACACAAATGCAAAAGGAAAGATGGCAGTTTACACCTAACTACCCAGATTGGCAGAAACCTCGGTGTCAGTGGACTGTGTCGATGAGACTGTGGGAACCAGCACTTGTGTCACATTGCTAGTGGGAGCATCAATTGATAGAACCCTTACGAAAAGCCTGCCTTGTGTCAGGACTTGAAGATGCATGAGGTACTTCAAGGGCCTTGCAGGAGATGTGATTAAAGGAATTTATTATGATGCCAAAAAATATTGAAACCCATACACTTTTCATAATACACTTCTCCCTCGCCACCACCCTTAGGATTTTTTTTTTTTTTCTTATCTTAAGAAAAGGCAGATTCAGGAAGATCTTCCATTTGCTGGATTACTCCCTAAATGGTCACAACAGCCAATACTGGACCGGGTTAAAGCCAGAAGCCAAGAGCTGCTTCTAGGTCTCCCGCATGCATACAGGGGCCCAAGTAACTTATCTTATGCTGCTTTTGCAGGAGGCATTATTGGGGAACTGAAAAGGATGTGGAGCAGCCAGGACTCAAACTGGCGCCCATAAGGGATGCTAGCGTCACTTTTTCTGATATGCCACAACCTTAACCTCCGTACTATGCATTTTTCAGCACCCTTTCTTTTTTTCTTTTTTTTTTTTTTTTGAAAGAGAGTCTCACCTACTGTTCACTGGCTAAATGCCATAATGGATGGGACGAGGCTGGGTCCAGTGCCAGGAGCCAGGAACTCAGTCCAGGTCTCTCCAGTGGGTGGCAGGGACTCATAGGAGCTGCCTCCCAGAGCTCTTCATTAGCTAGAATGGAGACTCGAAGTGAACGGAGGCACTGTGATGCATGAGTGTCTTTAAAAAAAAAAAAAAAAACTTTTTTAATTGAAAAGGCAGATAACAGTGAAGAGGGGAGACAGAGAGGAAGATCTTCCCATCTGCTCATTCACTCCCCAAGTGGCTGCAACGGCCGGAGCTGAGCCGATCTGAAGCCAGGGGTTCTTCCAGGTCTCCCACATGGGTGCAGGGTCCCAAGGCTTTGGGCCATCCTCGACTGCTTTCCCAGGTCACAAGCAGGGAGCTGGATAGGAAGTGGGGCAACTGCAATATAACCTGGCACCCATACAGGATCCCAGGTGTGCAAGGATTTAGCCACTAGATTATCATGCTGGGCCCTATTTAAAAAAAAATTTTTTTAGTAACTTTAATTAGATATACAGAGAGGAAGCTCCTCTGTCTGCTGACTCACTCTCCAAGTGACCACAATGACTGGAGCTGAGCCTATCTGAAGCCAGGAGCCTCTTCTGGGTCTCCCATGTGGGTGCAGGGGCCCAAGGCTTTGGGCCGTCCTTTCATGCCCTACCAGGCCACAACAGGGAGCTGGATAGGAAGTGGGGCTGCCAGGACACGAACTGGCGTCCACATGGGCTCCTGATGCTGGCAAGGTGAGGACTTTAGCCACTAGGCTACCGTACTGGGTCCCTCCCCCCTTTTTTTTTTTATCAAAGTGGAAGTGGATATTTTAAAAGTATAGTACCTGGAGTTCTGAAGGGATACTAATTACCAAAGGAATGGAGGAAATGAACATTTATTGGAGGACTGCTACTTGGCGTTTTTTTTGAAGATGTGTTTATTTGGAAGGTACAGTGACAGATGTGATAAGTGAGACATTTGAGAAGGAAAAGGTTCTTTCGTCTGTTGGTTAGCTCTCCCAATGGCCACACAAGCCTGGACTGAGGAAGCCTGAAGCCAGGGCCCAGCACTAGGGGCTCCCCCATGGGTGGAGGGGACCCAAACACCTGGGCCGTCTTCCACCTCCTCCCCAGCTGCCTTAGCAGGAATGATCGATTGGAGGTGGGGCAGGGGGCATTGGAACTGACGCTCCAAAACGTGAAGCCACTGTCCCAAGAACAGGCTTAACGCACGGCGCCACAACTGTGGCCCCCGTGCATGTGCCTTAACTGCTCGGTTAAATGGGAGGCAGCAGCATAAGAACAGCAACCAATAGGCATTCAGGTCTCACTTGCCCCTCATACACTGCCTCGCCTAACCAGCGCGCGCGGTGAAGGTGGTTCTCTCTAGGGGAGATGCAGCACAGAGACACGCATGCGCGCACCAGCCAAGCGGGCCAGCTGCCTGCAGTG